AAAAAAAAAAAAGAGCTTGGGCCAGGGATTTATCTCAGTGGTTCTGCCACCTGCCTTGCAAGCACAAGGACCTGAGTTTGATCCCCGGTACCAAAAAAAAAAACCCCAAAAAAGAGCTAATCTGAGGCCAAATAAAATATCAATGTAAGCACAGCAAGCTCTTTCCCATTTCAAAGAAATCCAAATCATAAGATAAAATCTGAGGCCTGGCATGGTGGCACACCCCTGTAACCCCAGCTCTTGAGAGGCTATGGCTGAGGATTGCTTTGAGTTCAAGGTCAGCCTGGGTTACATGGTGAGATCCTGTCTCAAAAAAAACAAACAAACAAATACACAAAAGTTATGATCTGAAAACAGACTTCTGACTTGGGGGATGATTTAAAGCAGTGTTAAGCTAACCATCACCACAAGAGTTTGCTATATTATCTTCTGATTAAGACTCAGACATAATAGTTCCCTCAAAAACAAGAAAATGATTAAATGTTAAAAACACACAAAGAAAACAAGAAAAAAATCCTTTAATTAATGATGAAAGTTTCTCATTATTGAAGGGAAAGTGTAGAAATGCTGATGTCTTGTGCTTGGATTGGTACACAACCTTCGTTTAAGTTAGGTGAAGGAGGGGCTGGGGATTTAGCTCAGTGGTTTCACCGCCTGCTGAGCAAGTGCAAGTACTCAAGTTTGATCCCCGGTACCAAAAAAAAAAAAAAAAGTTAGGTGAATGTTCAAGAATAGAAAGAAGCAGAGAAGACAGACAGAATGAGGTAGTCACCAGAGCAGATGGAACAAATAATTCCTGGACACCATGTTAACCTTTTTTCCTCCCTCCTTCCTGAGGAAGTCGTTTACTGTATTAAAGAAGACCCTGCTTGACACAGTCTGTCACTTGGGGTCACTCTCTGAGACAATGAAGCACAGTCTGCCTGCCCTGAGGTGACAATTGTTATGTTCTTACATATAACTACAGGACCTAGTTACACCACTGTGGTTATGTTCCCATCCTGCCAAAGACTGCTAGTAGTTAAGTCTCAATGGTAATTATTCTCCACCCCCACCTTGGTTCCCATACACCTGCTCCACCAATTCAAAACTCCTCGCTGTTGTGTTCCAGTTATTGAATGAGGTAAATTGTTGAGGATAGGAATTACGTCTTATTCAGTATTTTATTTCTAGAGTGTGACACGGTACCTAGACATACTTAAAAATGTTTCTGGGAAGTGGAAGAAGGAGGATTACAAATTCAAGCCTACCCTAGACAATTTAGTGACTAAGACCCTGTCTCAAAATAAAAAATTAAGGATAAGAAGGGCTGAAGGGAGGGGAAGAATATGGGGGAAAAAAGAAGAATCAAGATATATCATGTATAGGTACAAATTCCATATGATGAATGTTATCATTATGTATATCTAAAATGTACCAATCAAATTAATTTAAAATAAAGTAAAATAAAAAATAGGTCTAGAGATGAAGCTCAGTGAGAAGACCCTGGGTTCAATCCTTTTTAATTAAACAGGTTGCCAATGTGTCAGATCACAAATTTTACCTGTCATCTGTCTGCAAGATTCTCATACTGCATCAGTAATGCAATGTGAATGGAAAATGGGGGGTGGGGGGGTGATACAAAGAATTCTGACCACCTTCCTACCCCTAATTATTTGACTTTAATGCTTTGAACACTTTTGTGTTTGTTTAGAGGGCTTCAGTATTAATGTATTAGTAAACAAACATATAATGCTAGATGTGATTATCAAATTAAAATTTTTCTAAGCCTACATTCCTTCACAACAGAATGCTATTTGATTTTCTGAAAAATCTAATTCCATCTAATTCTGTCTTCTCATTGGTTTTCTCAGTAATTAGTTCCTACCTGCATTGTAACACTTCTTGGCTTTGGGTTTTTTAAAAATCTGCTTCCCTCTTTTATTGAACTGCCTAATACCCTACCACACAAATTTTGAGTCCTTAGTGAGTTCCTGTAAATGTTTCAAACAGTGAGTTTCCCAGCACTTAGGCTGAGGCAGGAGGATCACCATGAGTTCGACACCAACCTGGGCTACATAGTGAATTCAAGGCCAGGCTGAGCAACATACTGAGACCCTGTCTCAAAAGATAAAAATAAATAAATACTTACATTAGGACCTTTTAAGAAAAGACCCGCAAAAAGTCCCCACACTTGAACACTTTTGGTTCTGACATTCACATTTCACTGTGTTATAAGGACGGCAGATGGCGCCAGAAGGCAGTGGAATATCTTGGTTTTAAATAGGATTTTAGCCAGCTCCAGGGTGACCACAGGGCTTGAGTGGTAGAATTCAGAACTCAAAGTTGCCAGAATTTGAGTTGAAACAAAGACGGAGCGCCCTGAAATCCTCTTGATACCTACTCCAAATCAGCATGGCTAGAAGGCAACCACAGAAATATCCAAGGAAAGCCAAAGATCAAAATGAAGTCAAGTCGGGGAGAACGATGCTTAGGCCCTTCCTCCCGCTCTCCTAGAAACCAGAGCCTTTGTCCATTTGGGAGCGGGAGCGCCTGGCAGAGCCTGTGTCTCAGGAGCGGCAGGCACCGGTTTGGGGCTAAGGCATCTTCGTGAAACAATGTTCGATTGTTTACTTCCCGGGATGAATCACACACAAGATACTTTAACTTTTAAATTTTAAATTCATAGACAAGCCAGGAGGTGGCGCCTAGCAAGACACACTTACCCGTCTTTGGGAGGTAGAATCTCAGCTCCACACGCTCCAGGGAGCCTTATCCTGACGGAGGTCCCTCTGTCCACATCTCCTTTTTCCTTCCATGATGTCTCTGCCTGCTTGCTTTTTTTCTTAATCCCCCCCCGCCCCCGCCACCACCGTGTTAACCATCCGGTTTCCAAAGAAGACTAATTTACACTTTACATCTTTTAATCTCTATATGTGGGGTGGATGGGGCTTTGGGGGAAACCTCAAAACAGAAAGCTTTTACATAAAGGAAAAATAATTTGAAGGGTGATAAGGGAATAAACAGGGAAATGACATCCGAAAAATTGAATTGCCGATCAAACGCAGGGGGCAGGACGGGGAGGCGAGTTCCTGCCTGCAGGAGCTGATGATCCAGCACATGCTTTATTCCATTCGTTTGCTTTTATCTTGCTCCCTTGTTTAGCTTCTGCTGCCTTTGTTTCGGCCTTTTTTTTCTTT